CCATACCCCACCCGGCCCTCCCTCCTCCTTCCATCTACCGTCCTCACGCCCGACTTCACCCTGCCGTCTTTTCCCTTCCTCCCGGCCTCCTTCCACCTCCTCTTCCTCTTCACGCTTTTTCCCATGCTCGTCTTCCCCTTACTTCTTCCCTTCCTTCATACGCCACTCAACCTCTAAACTACCTTCTGCTTTCTGTCCTCCCTCCGCCCTACTTCTCCCTGCCGCCTCCCTTTTCTCCCGGCCTCCTCTGGATCTTCTCTTAAAACCTCCCTCTGCCCTTCCTTCGCCTGGCCACCTCACTCCCCTTCCTTCGCCCAATCTCTGCCTGACCTCCTTCCCTCTATCTCTTCCGTCCTCTCCGCCCGATTCGCACTGACCTCCTCCTTCCCCCGATCTCCTTCCTCCCCTTCCTTCCTTGGCCCGATCCCCACCTAACCTCCTGCTTCCGCCCTACTCTCTGCCGCCTCTCCCCTGCCTACTGGCCTCCTGCGCACCTTCTCTTCAACCCCCCTCATTCCCCTTCGTTCGCCCCCTTCGTTCGCCCTATCTCTGTCTAACCTCCTCCTTCCCCCGATCTCCTTCCTCCCCTTCCTTCCTCAGCCAGATCACCACCTGACCTCCCCCTTCCATTCCTCCCGCCGCCCTAGTCCCTACCTCCCCCTTTCTCCCTCAACCGGCCGCCCTTCCTTCGTAACGCCCGACCTAAGAAGTGCTGCTTCTCTTTATCAGGTGGACGTAAACGCTCCATTTGTTATCAAGATCGCTCCATTTCTTTTAGAGATCTCAGCACGGTTGCACACGCGCAAGAAGGAGAGAGGGAAAGCAGGAGAGAAAAAACGCATTTCACCTAACACACTTCCCCCTCTCGCTCTTCCTTCCTTGCGCTTTGTGTGTCTCCTCCACCACAAAACGTACGTCTTCTGCCTCCTGAACATTCTCCCTCGGTCTTTTCTCTTTGGAACGGCCTAATGATTAACTGCCCTTCGGCAGGTATTTCAGGCTATCGATATTTCTTTCCATATTTCACTCTCT